TATATATATATATATATATATATATATATATATACTCATAGGAGTAGGGTTCTGGTTGGTGGTGGTAGATGATCGTGTTTGTATTCGGTATTCGCAGGAGGCAAATGTGTGATTTAGTGGATAATGACCGAAGCAAATAGAGGTGCATGTTGGTACAGTGTTCTGCTTAATTACCAGCATACACTAGTATTGTAATAATTCATGCGTTTGTTGTTCATTACACGAACACTCGTATTATTTCCTTTAGATTTTACTCTACAAATCGTAGTAGTTATCTGTTATCATTTGAATTTTTTTATTTTTATACTAAAGTTCCAATAAAGGGACGAAACTTTAATCAATTTAATCAAAACTAAGTTCTAGTTCTTTTTAATATTCAATTTCCATTCATGCGTTTGTTGTTCATTACACGAACACTCGTATTATTTYCTTTAAATTTTATTCTACAAATTGTAATAATTATCTGTTATCTTTGATATATCATTTGAATTTCTTTATTTTTATACTAAAGTTTCAATAAAGGAACGAAACTTTAACCAATTTAATCAAAACTAAGTTCTCGTTCTAGTTATTTTTATTAAAGTACTAATGTTTATGTTTTAATTGTTTTACAGAGTTGTTAACTGAGAATGCGCAATGACACAGCGAATTTATCAATGGTCCACGAGCCCAAGGGAGGCACCGCAGACTATCCAAATGGAGCCCCCAAAATCTCATCGACCAGAAAAAATCCTCTCGAGGTGTAAGTATTCTTTTACGATGATTATTTCTATTATATTCCTTTTCTTTTCATTTTTTTTTTGTGTCATCTTAGATTGGCAACTAACAAGGAGACTTTACGTACACCTACGTGTTAAAAAATAAAATGTTAATCGTAATTCAAGTAATCAATTTTTCTTTATAATTTGCGCAAGTTGTCGAAAAATTTATTGTTTTGAATGTTTTTACGGTAACTATTAATCTGGAAATTGTGTTTAATAAATATTAATAAATGTACAATAAATATGTTAAAACTCATGAATAGAAAAAAATAATAAAAAAAACTTCCCCTATGAAGGATCGAACACAAACCAGCAGCACGAGAAGCGAGCACGTTACTACTTACGCTAACGCGTCATTGAATAAACAGTTCCATTTAAAATGATATATATTGTATACAAAAAATTCAAAACTTTTACAGCTTTTTTCTCAAAATTGGCTTCGCAGTTTGATAAAATACTTTACCACGATAACACCTTACTAGTATATTACAAATATACCAAAGCTCGTTAAAATCAGTGAGGGTACAACCGTAAGGTCTCCTTGTAAGTGATCGCGGAAATTAAATAAGAAAAACAATTCCAAATTTTTACTTAAAACGTTCGCAGACGTAAATGCTATAACATTCTAATTTTAAAAGCCAATTATTTCTAATCATTTAGTTGCTGACCCAATATTTCAATAAAATTGTTCTTTACCAGTTTCAAAGGAACAACGATGTCAATTTTAGACGATCATCGATCATGTTCTCGACAATTCGTTTGGATTATTTCATTAATAATAATTAATAATAATCAATCTTACTTTCTACACTCTTTTATATTTCAATCTAACTAAACGTGATCGTAATCTTCATTGTTTTCACGAGGGAGAGGGAGAGAGGGGAGATTATCGATGCGAACGATAATAATCAAATTTCGATTTCGTTGAGGAATTTGAATTTCAAATTTTCGCGATAGGGGAACTTCGAACAGACGTTTCTTCTTTTTTTTTTACTCCGAAAAAATATCGTCGACATTTATAATAATAATTTCGCATAAGATAAAAAAGACAATAAAAATGATCATTTTTTTTTATCGAGTGATAATAGGAAGGAGAGGAAAGGAATGAAAGAAGGAAAAAAAAAAGGGGGAAGAAATTTAATCGCATTACTTTCTTATCTTTCAGTTTACATTGTTTCTTTTTTTTTTTCTTTTTTGAAAATGAAATTTTTATAATTCTTTCGTTCTTTCGTATATCGAAATCGATCTTGAGGAATCTAAAAGAAAAAAAACTTTTCTCCTTCCATATCTTTCGCATCTTCTAAACGAAAGAGGAAAAGTTATTCACGAATGGTGCATAAAATTCTTCTTTTTCTTATACCGAATGAAACATATAATTTCAATCAAATTATTTATTCTTTACATTTTTGTTTTTGTGTTTATTTAACTAATACTCATTTTATACAACATGTTTAAATTTCTATCAAAATATTATCCAATTAATTAGGATGCATTTTTACAATTATTTCTGTCATTCGAAATACAAAAAAAAAACACACACAACGTTTTAATATTTTAATTACAAGGAAATATATTAAGTTATGTGATTCACCCTGTATATAAGATATCAGATACACATAGAAACATACACACAGATATGAATGTGTACACTTAAACACGTATCGTCGATCGTGGAAGTTTCGAACAGCAATTACGTTGCTAATGGAGGTCCCTTAGGGTAAATCTTGACAGACGTTTCGTAAAAATATCTTTATCTCTCTCTATTTCTAGGATCTTCTTGTACATTCATCATCTTACTTACACACATATATTATATATCTACACGTACGCGTAATAAAGTATACACATATACGTATATACACATTGTATAACAGGATTCGTACCATTTGAATTTCAACTTACCCTAGCATGATTCTAAAAAGGGAAAAGGGAAAAGGGATAAAGAAGGATAAAGTAAGAATTGTCTGATACGTTGAATATTCGAACGACTTTTCTCTCTCTCTCTCTCTTTCTCTTGTTCGAAGTTAGGTTCACTTTTTTCTTTCTTTTTCTCTCCCCTCTTTGTTTTATTATTTTCTTTTTTTTTTTTTTTTTCAATGAAAACTCGTGGAAAATTTCAGGTACCCTCAACATGATTCTCAACTTCTTCCTTTGTTCTTATTTTATCGTTTTTACTTTTTTTTTTTTTTCTTTTTTATTTCTTTCATTTTTTTTTTTTCTTCATATGAGCGATTACGTTCTCTCGGAAAACAGGAAAAACATTATTTTTAACAAGGAGGAAGAATTTTTCGAGAACGTTTTTATTGGACAAAAATAATGTCAATTGATGAAAAAAGCAATCCCATTTATTCCTTTTTTTCTTTTTTTTTTATTTTTTTTTATTGGTGAACGTTCTTCTTCCAACAAGAATACATATTTCTTCATATGAGAATCATAATTCTCCTACCAACGATCCAATTAATGATTCAACGATCATGCGTATTTTCTTTTTCATTTTCATTCCCATTTGAATAGCAAGCAAACCTTGTAGAAAGTACAATAGTTCACGTATTTTTTGGAATTTTCGTTGAAATACTCGAAGGAGGAAATTGATCGAGTCAATTTTGTTTTTTCTTTTATTTTTTTTTTTTTGGGGGGGATTTAATTGCCATGATCCAAACGAATTCGAAGGAATGTGAGTCGATTTTTGTGAAAAATATTTTTCTATATCCGACAGAGTGTTGGGTTGAACGAAGATTTAATTTTTATTTTTCAATCAATATTTCACAATAATTTATTTTCTATAAAATATTTAAAAATATTAGTCAATTAAGGGGTTACATAGGTTTACATCGAGAAAAAATAGCATATTTTCAACAATTTGTTTTTCTATATAAAAAATGTAATTCTTATTCAAACTTTTTATAGTATTTAGGATACATATTTAAAGAACATTTTCTGAATTTTTCGTTGAAAAATATTTTAAACTCAGCCATTGCGACGTCATTTCCGGTGACCCCACCGAAAAAAAGTGTTTTCGCGTTGACAGCAGAACTTATAAACGGTGGGGTTTTTTCTGTTGAAAAAATAGGCTCTTTTAGTGAATACTTAAAACTAGAAACTGGACGAAGGAAGAAGAAAAAAATTAAAATTTGGATTTTTGGCAACGTTTTTAGCAAGAACATTCAAATTTCGCTAGAATTTTCACCACATTTTGGTTTCTTAAAATTCGATTTTATGAAAAAAACGAAAATCCTTCGTCCAAGTCCTTGTCAATAGTATCATGAAGACGTGTAGCAAATTTCATGAAAATCGGTTAAATAGTTTTCGAGAAATCTTGACAACCGACTTTAGAAAAARCGTTTTGGGAAAAACGCGTTTAAAGATTTGAGTGCTTCTCAAGGCTCTATATTTTAAACTACTACTCCAATCGACTTCAAAATTGAATACAATATTCTAGATGAGTTGTACAATTGAAAAAAAAATAAAAAAAAAAAAATTTTTTTTGGAAGTCCCAAACCCATGTAACCCCTTAACAAACATCTGTTCTTTTGGTAAGTAGAATCAAGACAATCAATTAAAAATCCAACGAGAATTATATTTGTGAAGCATCGAAGAATGTCTCTATCCTGTTCTAAACGAAAAATCATCTTAATGCGTTTTCCACGCTATCCTGATATATTTTATTTCAGACACACAACGAGACACGGAGAAGGATAAAACGGAAACTGAATACATGCTACAACAGAATGGCGAACCAATGTACGAAAGCATATTTTAAAATGAAAAAGACTAAACATAATAAACGATATAATATATATATATATATATACCGTAATAATTGCAATAAAAAATATGATGTGAATGAACGAGAATGAACGAATAAGTAGCGTTTACATAATTTTATTAATCATATTGAAAATGGAAGCTATTTTATTAATGGAACATTGGTATCGATGATTTCAAAAAATAATGGAACCTTATATGAAATTTGAAAAGTGTCTAAAACCAAACCAAACTTTGGAGAAATGATTTTTCATTATTTATTTAATTTATTTTCTTCATTTTTTTTTTTTATTATTTTTCTTTTTATTTGATCAGATGAATGATAGAAAGATAAAACGTAAAGTTACTTCCTATCAAAAATTATTCGACAGACGTTACGTTTGTTAATAAATATCATACTAATTAAAAATTGATTATCATTTTTGTCCACAGTGAATTCGTGCCACCTCAGACGAAGGAGGAGGAAAAACCAGTTCAGCAGGGGCCAACATTACCACCGGTGCCTTACTACAGACTCGTAAGTTATTTTTTTTCGGTTTACATTGTCAAACAAAATGTTTGAAAATATTTTCATTTGATTATACCAAACCTCGACAAATCAAACGAATCGAATTTAAGTCATCAAAACTAAGAAAAAAA